TCAAATCAAAACTTTATGAAGAGAAAAAAAAATGGACGCCCATATTGTCCCTGTTGATGATATATATTGATATTATCATTATTATAATGATGGTGATGAATGAAAAAAAAATAATGAAAAATGTCAACTTTCGACCGTCATTATCATTATCATCGACAGTTTTCTTCCAAGTATGTGGTGTGTGAATAATGAAAATTTTTTAAAATTTAAAAAATGTAAAAAAATTGCATATACACATACACTGAAAGACTGAATATCCTTGATGATTGGTATTTGAAGAAAAAAAATTTAATAAAAATATGAAATATGAAAAATGTACATGAAATAAAATGAATAAAACTAAAACGATAGAGAAACATTTTTTTTGGACAAGGTAAAAAATATACTACCATCATTTTTTTCATTAGTTTTGTTTGTGTTCAACGTAATTTTGTTGTCAATATCAATGATCAGATCGATATCATTGATTGAATAAATGAAAAAGGCACAAAATTTTGGGCATAAATTTAGCGATAATTAAAAAAAATGACTTTGATGATGAAAAGAATAGACAAATATTTCATGATTGTCAAACTCAATGTATATCATAAAATCGAGGTCAACAAACATCCATTTGTTGTTTCTATTTTGGATTATCAAAATATGCGTTTAAATTTTCACAAATCAAATCAAGCATGACTACTCTATGTATATTGATTATCGAATTTGGATTTTCATTAAAAAACTCGAATTTGGCTTGAAAAAAACCGATAATTTTATAAACATCATCATCATTATCAACTGAATATGAAAAAAAATTATTTAGTTCCATGAAACGGTCACGAAAGTCAAAATTTTCAAAACACAATACAAATACAAACAAAATGGCCACGACCACAAGGTAGTTATTAATGAAATGAGTTGAAAAAAACGAGTTACAAAAGATAATTATTCATTATTTTTTCTTTTTTTTTTGGTTGGCTGAATATTTGGAGCCATGAATTTTTTTCATTGGAAAAAATAGTGTAGAGGAGGAACATACATTGAAGTTGAAAAGAAAAACAAAACCATCCAACCAAACCAGCCAATAATAAACAAGCTTTTTCTCATCTCTACTCTATATATTTGAAAATATGCACTGCGCTAATTTTAATTAGTTTTAAACAAAAACAACCAAAATTCAGAACAATCATCCCATCTCATTTCATTTATTCATTCATTCGATCCATACATATAATAGATGTATGTGTGTTAAATTTTATAGTAGTGTTTATATTGCTAAATATAGCCTGAAAAAACCAGAAATTATAAATAAATTTTCAACATGTTTGAGAGTTGAAAAGAAAAAAAAGAGATTTCAGTATTAAATGAATGAAAGGCATTCGTTGTTTTGAGAAAATTACCGAATTAGATTTGATCATCATCATCATCAATGGATGATGATGATGATAATGATTGTATGTCTTTCAAATTCAATTCAATTCAATTCAGTTCAACTAAGTTCAGTTCATTTTGTTTAGCCAAGCTTGAAAATTTTTTCATTTTCTTATTTTACTTCTAATTCATCCATGTCAATGATTGAATACAAATTCTGTAATGGTTGAAATAATAAATTAATGACCTCTCTTTCTCTCTCTTTTTTTTCTCATATACATAATATACATTCATAGATTGGAATAGGAGTTAACTCCAAGTATAAGATAAATGAAATGAACAAGAGAAAAAGAAAAATGTTAATGTTAAGACAATCAACATTTGTGTGTTAAGATAATAATAATAATAATAATATTTTATTAGACACTATAATAATTTCTTTTTTTTCTCACACACCAAGTAAGTCTCATTATCATTAGCCACACACACATATTACCAAAAAAAAGCCAATGATAATGACACTATACATTATAATTGTGACAATGTATTTATTTTTCTTAAGAATTTTTTTTCCCGTGTAACTAATATAACAAACACACCTACTAACTAATCATTTACAAAGAAAAAAAGTGGGGATGAGAAGAAATAATGAAAACAATAGGATCAATAGGAAATTAATGTTGTTTTTTTACGTAAAAAAAAGAAATGTTGAGAAAATAAATTATCAATTTTTCTTCTTGTTTTTTTTGTTTAATACAAAATCAATCAACTTTTACGATGATAATATTAATGATGAAAAAAAAATTCCTAATTGTTGTTTGTTGTTAGTTTTTGTAGGTCTTATTGTTGCTGAAAGATGAAGAAAAAAAACGATTATCATAAGAAAATTGTTTGGGCGTCATTTGCTATATGAAAAAAAACAAAATTAAATGTCAAAAAATTTTGCATTAAGTTTGTCGTTGTTGTGATTTTGTGCTAATGACAATGAAATGTAAAGAAAGAAAAACCTGTCTGACGTGTGTGTATGTTAGTGTACCAGACTATCCAGGATCCATGGGCTCCAAAATGAAAAAATAATGATAATTTTTCAATCACCAATCATTATCAGTCTTTGTATGTGAAGTTTATTCTATTGTTATTGTTGTTGTTGTCATTATCATTACTATTATTATTAATTGAAAAACAAACGAAAATTAAAAAAATGAACAACGGAAAAATAAAACATGAACATGAAACGAAACGGATCATGTGATCCAACAAAAAAAAATATATAGTTTTCATATAACATCATATTGATGATCGAATAAAATGAAACAACAAAAACGATTGAAAAAAAATAATCGAAAAGGAAATGAAGAATAACAACAAATAATGGTCATCAACAACTAATACCAAGCAACAACAACAAAAATTCTGTAAACGAAAAACTAAAATCATGACAGACACACAGAGAGAGAGAGAATAGAAATAGTGAATCACATTGACAAGTCATTATAATTAATTATAGTCATCTATTTTAAATTAATTTTTCGTTGTTGTTGTTGTTAAAAAAAGAAGAATTTTTTAAAATGTAAAAATGAAATGGTTGCTGATGATTTTTTTCTTACCAAAAAAAAAATTGTATTTAAGCATCATTTGAACAACGAAAACAACAACAACAAAAAATTGAAGATGTTAAGATAAGGTTATAATAATAATAATAATAATAAAGAAAGAGGGGAAAAAATTATAAGAAACACACACACACACAGAATCAATCAACCAAATACACCCAATATATTGAACGTAAAAGTTCGATTACTAATGGCCTGATTTTCCATTATTATCATCATTATATAACCATCACTATTTTTGGACTAAAAAAGTCACACAGAATCCTATGACGCATGACAATGTAATTCGAAAACAAGGTTCTTTAGGAAAATAAAAAATTGAACTTTATTATAATATCTTTAGAATTGTTTTACAAATAAAATTTTTTAACAAAAACAAAAAGAAAAAAAATATTCGGCTTGACATTGGTGAATCATCATTGGTTGATTGATAACACATTACAATTATAGAATGATGATAATAATATTGATCATTGATCAAGAAGAATTGGTGTGAGAAAAAATGAACCATTCTCATCGAAACAATAATAATAATCTTCATCACAATGGTTAAAAGAAAAAAGGTGATGATTATTATAAAACATTAACGATGATATGGTTGATTTGTTCGTTGAGCAGCCTGTTTAAAAAAATACTGAAATCAACACTTGGGTGTTGAAAAAGAATGTTCACATTTTTCTGTCATAATTGTTTGATTCAAAAAAAACCAAAAACAAAAAAGAAAACTTGTTGATATGACAAGAATATTTTGCTGCTGTTGAAATCAATCAATCAATAACATACATTGATGATAAATTTTTTGTTCGATCTGACGACATGGAAATTTTATGAATTGTTGACATCAATTTAATCCAAATGGATCGAATATACTTTATTAGGAATATGTGATGCTAAAATTCATCAGAAAACTAAAAAAAACTCCATCGATTAGGGAAAGATGGCGCTCAAAATAATTCGAATGTTTTTGAGTTTCAATTTCGAACGTTTTGTTTTATTCTTTTTCGTTTTTGTCTCGCTCGCTTGGTTGTTTTTTTTTTGAATTTCCTTTTTTTTGGCTTTTTTCAAAGTGTGGCTATTTTTTACCTATGGCTGTTTTCTGTATTGTCTATTTTCACATTATCGCTTTTCCCATTATCGCTTTTTTATGTTCTGCTATTTTAAACCAGAATCCAAAAAAAAAATCGAATAAAGTCGAAAATTTAAATGACAACGATGATAAGAACGAAAACAAAAAATGAAATTAAAAAACGATCTTCATCGTTAACATTTATCATTGTTCGGTCGGTCGATCCATCCATTCATAAATTGTTTAATCGATTAATCAATCGTCAAATGGAAAAAAACAACAGAAAACAACTACAAATTTATAAAATGAATGATGAATATTTCTTTTATTAATTCATAATGAGAGAAAAAAAATGCAATTATATTAATTTATTAATATCATATATATAGTGTGAGTGTGTGTAGGTGGTTTTAGGAATATGATAGTTTAGGAAGTAGTTGTAGAAAATCTTCTAATTTTTTCAAATTTATTTGGTCAACATATTAATTGTGTGTGTGTGTGTATTTGTAATATATCAAAATGACGACTTTGTGAATGATGAATGTTCATCAAAATGAATGAAGAGAGACTATATTTTCTTTAAATAAAAAAAATCGAGAGTGAGATTCACATCCACAATTAATAATAATGAAAATAACGTTAATAATAAGAAGAATGATGTTGATGAAAAAAAAATCAAAGAAAATAATGAAAATCAATTTATACAATGTGTGATGAATGATGTTTGATGTTTTCGTATGTATATATCAAGTTTATTCTATCGAACCAAAATCGATATTGAATTGAGATTTTTTTTAATCGTTGAAAAAAATTATTAAGAAATTAAAAAGAAAGTAGGAACATTTAGGTGTTTTGTCTTGTCATTGTTGTTGTTGTTGCAATATTTTTTTAAACAAAAAAAAAAGTTCAAAAGTTTATTATTTATAATGATAAAAATTGTAGTTCAGTAATTCTGGCCACATCAAAGAAATTATTTGGAAAAGAATTGAAAGTGAAAATAAAACAAGGTTAAAAATGTGGAAGGAGTGTTGAGTGTTGATTGATATCCGAAGCACTTTTTTTAAGTAGAATGATGTGAGATAATGATGATAATAAGTAGTTTGTTTTCTTTTTGAAATGGGGATGTGAGTTGAATTATTCAATCATTTCCATTCGTTTGTGATTGTTGTGTCATTGATTCGGCTAGATTACCACTGTTCACACTACCAAATTGGTTACCAGAATTATTCTGTTGAATGGAAGCAAGATTCTGTATCATTTGAAGTTGTTGTAAAAATCTTTGTGCAGCTACCATTTCTTCTTCTTGTTGTTTGTCCATATCAATCATTTGATTCTGATTAGGATAACAAGATGATAATGAAGATGCAATAGGAAAATCAGTAGAATTATCATCTTCAACATTATCATCACTGTTGTTGGTTGGATGATGTTGATGATAAATTTTATTGTTAATATCAATCTGATTCTTAAGACGATCAATATGTGATTTAGAGAAAAGATGTTCCTGCATTGATTGTTGTTGTTGTTTACGTTGTTTTTGATTATATTTTACATTACAAATATTACATCGATCAGATGATAATGATGATGATTGATTTAGTTGATCCGGTTCCTGTTGATGGCTGTTGTTATTAATCATCATCATTGTTGCTGAACGCGATTTTTTATCTTTAGCACGAGCATTTTGAAACCAAACCTGTACGACACGTTTGGATAGACCAAGCTCTTTACCTAATGTTTGACATTGTGACATTGTTGGTGTTTTATAATCGGCAAATATTGATTTCATCACTTTTATCATGGTTGTTGTCATTTGTGTACGAAATCGTTTACTATTGTTAGTAATTTTTACTTTACCACTATGATGAGTATTATTCTTTTTGATCATATTTGTTGTTGATGATGTCGATGTTGTACCACCAAAAACAGTTGAATTGTTGACACTTTCATCAAAATCGATCTCTTCTTCGACATCCGAATCGATAAAAGAAGAATCCGATGATAACGATGATGCATCTAATGAACATGTGTCGTCGATTGTTGTTGCTGCTTCATCATCTCGACTGTTATGATGAAATTGATTGGAAGAATTATTAACAATTTCGTTATAATTGGCTGTGGAAATGGATAGATCATCATTGTCATTATTATTATCATGATGTTGACTGAATAGTGTATGATTGTTGGCTGATTGTTGCTGTTCTGCTGTTGTCAAGGCTGACATCATCTTGAAGGCGAGCTCTGTGGGCAATTGACCGCCATCTTTTCCTGGAGATGAACGAAGATGTTAGCTATGTCTACAGTCGAAATTATAAATGGGTTTTTTTTATTGTTAATAGGAAATTAAATAACTAAATAAGTGATGTCATCATCATTAGCTAACTTTCTTTGATGTGTCTATTCTCATGTTGTGTGTGTGTAATCAAGGATAATTCTAAACTTTTTTTTACAATTCTACAAAAATCTAGTTACTAATTTTTCTGCCGTTAATGAAACTGACTGATCGATATAAAATGACAACGCGTTTTGCCAACCGATGATCTCAAAATATGGTGTTTGGGAATCGTTTTATATAAAAAGATACTAACCTTGAATATTTAATTCATCGAGATATTTTTTAAATGAATCTTCATATCGTTTCATTACATCGGCCATTTGTGAACCATCAGCATTATTATTAGCAGTAACAATATCGGAAATATCACCATCTTCAGATGGATCACCATCAGGCAGATTATCGATATTAATATCACCTTTCGTATATTGATCAGCATGACGAGTGGCTAAATGTGATTCGAGCGCTGATCTTGCTTTGAATAATGCACGACAGAATGGACATCGTTTATGGATCACTTGTTGATGTGCACGAAATTGTCCTTTTCGTTCACGTGCACGTGTATTCTGGAACCATACTTGTACGACACGTTTCTTCAATCCAACTTCTTTCGCAATACTTTCCAACATTTTTCGGCTTGGATTCGAATCGAGCTGATATTTCTGATAAAGATAATCCAATTGTTCAGGTAGTATGGTGGTTCGTAGACGTTTATCACGTGGTGTTTGATCGCTTGAATTACTATTATTACCATTTCCACTCATTGAATCAAAATCACGTGATTCATCATCATCATCATCGTCATCAGTTGGTTCGATGAATTTACGTTTATTTCCCGATTGTAACATTGAATTTGGTGATGGTTGTGGACTATTCGCCATTGAGGATTGTTGTTGTTGTTGAGAAGGAGGAGGAGGAGGAGTATGTTGATTTTCAAGTTGTTGTATTAATCCGAATGGATTAGCCGTTGCTTGAAACAGATTTGAATTAACAATATGAACAATTTGATGATCTCTCCATAGATCCAGACGATTGAAAACCAATGGACATTTATCACACCGGAATGTTTGACTTTCATTATTGTTGTTGATGATTGGACTGGTTTTTATCGAATTACCCGTTAGGCTTGATGGTGATGAAACTGAATTCGGACTTGTCATAAGATTGTTTAGTTGACTTTTTTCCGGTGTAGCCGTACTTGATCGTGTACAGTCAATTGGTGTGGATGTTGCCGAATCACGTGATGTTGATACATTTGGTGATGAAGCCTGTGCACGTGCTTCGGCTGCCATACGAATCTGTGCGGCCAATGGATTTTCATCTTTGAAACAGGAACTTTTCTGATGTTTGATCAGTTCATAGTATCGTTGAAATACTTGTAAACATTTTTTACATTGATAATTTAGACCAGGTGTACGTTGAAAACGACCTGAACCATCATCTTCACCGACCGGTGTTGTTGGTGGTTGATTTTCATAAACTTTACGTGCTTTTTGTCGAGCATTTTGAAACCAAACAACAATAACGCGAGGACTTAGATTCAACAATTTGGAAAGATATTCCAGATCATCATCTTTGGGATAGGCATTCGATTCGAAAAATTCTTGCAAAACTTTAATTTGATAATCAGTGAAACGTGTACGATTAGCACGTTTACCAGACGATGAATGTGTACTAACATTCGGCGGTGGTGTTGTCATCATATTCGATTGATTAGCAGCGACAGCTGCAGCAGCAACAGCTAATTGTGATCGTTGTGCCGCATCCAATGCAAATTGTAAAGGCGATGATGATGTAATGTGACTTTGATGATGAGATGTTGCAAGACTATGATTGAAACTCGTTAGGCCAGCAAATAATGATGCGGATGATGATGTAGGATTATTGTTAATCGATTCACAAGCGGATGACATTGATGATTCGGATGGTGGTGGACTATTTGTTTGATATGACATTGTTTTACTTAGCTGATCAAAATCTTGAGCTAGATGTTGTTGTTGATGTTGCTGAATTGCCGATGATAATTGTTGTTTATTACTGGATAATTCATTATTACTAAATTCCATTAATGTTGATTGTTGTTGTTCAATAATTTCTTTTGTTGTTGATGAATGATTTCGATGTTTAATTTCTTCATCATCCGAAGTAGCATAATCAGTATCTTTATTTGATGATGAACTTTTTACATCACTTAAATTTTTTCCATCACATTCACTTTCCGAATCATTTGTTTTATCTTTATTATTATTATTGTTGTTACTGTTGTTGTTAGCATTCTCTTTATGATCATTACCACCACCACCACAATCATTTGGTTGAGAAACAATGGCATTATTTTCGGTCTTTTTCAATTCATCCAATGTAAATACTTTAGTTTCACCAGTTTTTTCATATTCATCTATATTTAAAAATGTTGATGGTGGATTATTAAAATTATATGGTGAATCTTTATTACGTTGTCTTTCTTTAAACAATGTATTACGAAACCAATGTTTAATTACTTTCATTGGTAAACCAGATTTTTGACTCATTTCGATTAATTGTTCTTCAGTTGGTGAATTATTTATATCAAAATATTGTCGTAATACTTTTAATTGTTCATCGCTAATGCGAGTTCGAGCACGTTTTTGTTGTTGAGAAACGGATGATGCTGCCGCCGCTGCAGCTGCAGCAACAGCAGCTGTTTGTTGATTTAGTGTTTGTGAATTGTTGACTTGTGTTTGAATTGGCATTACCGGTGTTGTTGATGTTGCTGTTGAAACCGGTGATGGAGTTCCCGGTGTTGAATTTGTATTCGGTGCTACAACTTGTTGTTGTTGTTGTACTTGATTCAATTGTGCTGCAGCAGCAGCGGCTGCTAATGCCGGATTATTGAATGCAGCTGCAGCAGCCATCATTGGATCAGCCATCATTACCGGTATTAATTGTGGTGGAATACCCATGGCGGCAGCCGCAGCAAACGGTACATTCATACCGGGAGGCATTGGCATTCCGGCAGCCATACCAGCTAATCCCATACCCATCAACAATTGACTGAATTGAATGTGTGCTGCCATTTGATTTGCAGCGGCAATTTCAGCTGGTGTTGCATTCGGAGATAGATTAGGTAATAATTGAGCAAGATTATTTGCTCCGGCTGCAGCGGCAAGTTGATTCATTTGATCGGCTGTAATCATGTTTGATGATTCTCCAATCGAATTTGCTGATTGATTCATTGATTCATGATGTGATTGAGTAGATGGATTATCGATTGAAACATTATTATTTCGTTTCGATTCGGTCTTGTTACATTTAACAGTATCATTATTGCTGTTGTTGGCTGTTGAATCTTCATTAATGGCATCATCATCTTCATCATCATCAACATTACCATTAACGAAAAATTTACGATCATATTCATTACGATATTCATCGGCAAATGATTCGACAACATCTAATGGTATAACATCTTTATGGATTTCTTCACGATGTGCTTTCAATACCCATATTGAGGAGAATTCTTTGAAACAAATTTCACATTGACATTTGTTAATTTCTGGTGGTACATTTTCATTCCCATCTTTTATTGTTTCGGTCATTGAATTGTTTTCTTCTTGTTTGTTGTTTGTCGTTGTTTGATTCGGATCATCAACATCGGATTGTTCGATTGATTGATCGGATTTGATTTGAACCGTTGATTCATCATTTTCATTATTTTTCGATTGTTGTTGTTGATCATCATTGTCTACCAAATTTTCTTCATCATCACCATTATCATTATCATCTTTGTTGGTACAATCATCCGATTTCTTATTTTTCTGATTACTTTCATTGAATTGCATGACGATTTCAAATCCCCATGTTTCAAGTAAATGTTTATATAATTGTGGTTTATTCTTATATAATGGACCTTGTAGATTAGATAATTTAGACAATACAGTTTGTTGTTGTTGTTTTGCTTGTTGTTGTGCTGCAAACAATTGCATATTAGCAACATTGGTTATGTTACCGAATAGACCACATAATTGTTGATGTTGAATTTGTGCTTCTTGTGAAATAAATGATGCACCACACTTTACACAGGTAAATGGTGATTGACTACCACCACCGTTACTACCATTCATTATTGATGATGTTTGATTAGTATCAAGTGTTGAACCAGTTTGATTTGGATTTGTTCCGGCAGCAAATGCAAGATTAAGTGCTGCTTGTTGAAAAGCTAAAGCTTGTTGTTGCTGTTGTTGTTCATTAAGATTGGCCATCAACATTTCAGGAAATTTATTCATATTCGGACTAGGTGAACTTGTTTTGGCACTTGTTTCCACCGATGTTGAATTGATTTTCGATGATGATGAATTGTTATTGATGTTCATATCATTATGATTAAGTGGTTCGATCAATGGTAAACTTAGATCCAATTGACCACTTTGAGCCAATTCATGTAGTTTAGATGTTCGTTGATGATGTAATGATGATCGTAAATGATTATGTAGAGATGATGCCATTGAATAGCTAACTTTGCATAGATTACATTTGTACAACTTATTTTCATTATTATCATCTTCGTTCATCGATTCACTGATGGTTGATGTTGGTGATGTATTATTAGCATTATTGGATGCAGCAACTGAAGCCGCAACAGCGGCACTACTTTCTTTCATACTTTGCTTCAATTTATGTAGATGTGATACAGAATTATAATGAACAAGTAGAATATTCTTCTGCGTAAATGATTCTTTACATATTTCACATTTAAATGGACGATTTGGATCTAAATATTTTTCCATTGGATAGCTCATCTTTTCACCTTTACGATGTAATAATGTTTTATTATGTGATGTAAGATAACTTTGTCGTGTGAATGCCACTTTACAACGATGACATTTGAAACGGCGATTTGGATCATTATAATTATCTTCGGCTAAATGCTGTGAATTTAAATAATCTTCCAGACTTGCATTATCAACATTACCATTGAAAATGTTGACAGCAGCATTCGAAACATTGTCTAGATTGTTGTTGGATGATCCAGATGTTTGTTCCATAATGCTATCCAATAATGGATTGTTATCATCATGATCTTTATTGTTATTAGCTGCTAGATCAATGGCACCGTTTTCCATATCCATTGATTCATCATTTTCATTTTCATTACGACAGGATTCTTTTTTCAATAATTCTGTGGTGGAAGGATCCAATATACCGCCATTACGACCAAGTGCAAATAGCAGTTGATTATTGATCAAATTAGCTTTATATTGTTCCAATTCATCATCATTTAGATTTGAATGCGATGATTCCACATGTTTTTGTAATGATTCAACCGAACGAAAACTACGACCACAAATGACACATTGAGTGGCTGCACGTATCAAATGATATTGTGAATGAAGCTGTAGTTTTTCAAATGTTTTAAATGCAAGTGAACATTGTGTACAACGATATTTATAAACATGACGATCGGAAACAGAAGCATTCGATGCCAGATTTGATGATGATGATGATGTTGTTGTTGAAGTACTGTTATTCATCATCTTAATACATTTGGCGAAATGCTGTTCTTTAAAATGTTGTTGTATTGATGTAATCGTTTTGAATGTTTGTCCACAACCATTACGCCAACATTGGTATTGGCCACTATTAGTTTGTTTCATATGTGAATCAGCTGTCATATGATTGAATAATTCTTCCAGATTTAGATACATTCGATTACAAATTGGACATATCAAATGTTCGAATAATAATGCATTCATATTATTTGTAGCTGTTGATGATAATGTTGAATTCATCATCATCATATTACTGGTATCCATCATTGTTGACATCATCATCGCCATTTCATCATCACCAGCCGCCATTAATAATTTTGAATTGGAATCACTTGAATTTGGTCGAACATTATCATCATCATCATCACCATTACCATCATCATCATCATCATTTTGTTGTTGTTGTTGATTATCACGATTCATTTGATCAACATCACTTATTGATTTTTTATTGTTAATTGATGATGAATATTTATCCAATTCACTTGTATCAACTAATAACATTAATCTTTGAACGCCTTCTTTATTAACATTATGTATTTCGACTAGATGACATTCAAGACGATTCTTTTCATTAAATGGTTCCTGACATAATGGACATAATATTGTTGGTGGTGGTGCTGTATTGTTGTTGGATTTTTTCGTTGTGGTTGTTGTTGTAGTCGATTGTTGCTGATTCTGTTGTTGTTGATCATTCAATGATTGTGGTTGATGATGAGCAGTTAAAATATGCATTTGAACATGTAATTCAGAAGTATTTGAATATGGACAAAATGGACAATTGATTGCTAATGATTCATGTTCGTTGTTGTTATTATTATTGCTATTATTCGGATTTAGTTGGCCAGCAAGTTTGAATTGTTCCATTAGAACATTTTTCAACATTAATGGATCAGCATTTAAATCATTATTGAATAATGTTGTTCCATTGCCAATATTATTGTAATCATCGTCTAAAAAAAATAGTGAAAGAAAAAGAGAGAGAGAAAAACAATGAAGCAAAAATTATTATTATGACAAAAAATTTTAAAAACAATGACATTCATATGATAAATCCGATTAGATAATGTTCAGAAAAAAAAACAAAACAAAGAAAACAAAACTAATCAGGTAATTATCATTTACTGTCCACTGAGATAATGCGAAAAAACTATTTATTTATTTTTGGTGGACAAAAAAACACTAAAAAATCATTGCCATATTGACACCAAGACACAAAAAAACTATTTCTTTTTATTCAAGTTATCTAATCATTACAAGATAATGAATTTCGTTTTGAAAAAAGAAAAAGAAAAAAAATTCTATAATAATCATCTCAACTTTTTTTTGAGAAAAAAGGATTCTCTCTATATAGAACCATCATCGTTGTTGCCGATGACGACGTTAACATTTTTGTTTCAGAAATTTTTTTGTTTTGTTTCAAAATTAATTTTAAATTTTTTGTCAATCCTCATGATTTTCACTAAAGTCTAAATCTATCATGACAGGAATTTGATTTTTGTTTTTGTTTTTAATATTGCTCATAGCAAATCGATTGACAACATTATAAGCTAAGGAAAGTTAATGATGATTGTTGTTGTTGATGATCGGATGAATTTTCTTTTGAAATATTCAATCTGATCTCGAGAGTAGAAACAAATAAAAAGCCCCCTAGAAACAATTTAAATGATAAAACACGATTTTTTTCTCAATACAAATTATCATTATATAACTGATCAGTGTTAAAGAATTTAAATGTTTTCAAAAATTTCGAATGGGTAAAATTTTTCTACTAACAACAGCGGTTCAATGATCATCGTTGTCGTGGAATTGTTTTTTTTTTCAATTGGAAATGAATTTAAGCAGAAAAAAAAACAATTGACAGAAATTAAATTGAATTCGATAAAGTTATTGATGACACAACAGTGACTCTTTTCGATTTCAGAAAATTTCTGAGAATAGAAAAAGATGCATAAGTGTTACATCATCAAATGTAAGAGGAATCGAATTCAATTTGATAAATGAATTTTATGAAGTAAAAAAAAATTCATCAATTAATCACAACGTCAGAATGATGATGGTATTATCATTATCAACTTTAATAATTTTGTTGTTGTTGTTGAACAAATAAAATTCAAAGATTCAAAGTTTGGATAATTTTGTAATTGATAAATTGAAAATGACAGAAGCAAAATATTTTTAAAAAGAATTTAAATTACATTCTTCTTGCCATCATCATCATTATAGCAGCAATCTATTCATCCATCCATCCATCTATGTCTCTTTCTTTCTCGGTAAAAGATACTCATTCCATTTTTATTGCGAAAAAAAGTGATGATCGAAAAATTTTATTTAGCTTAAAAAAATGAAAAATTCGCAACATGATAATGAATTCGAATATAGTGTCTATGCACATCATCACAATCATTTTGAAAGAGTGAGTGAAGAAGAATAGAGAATATTCTTTTCATTTCATTCATTATCGTGAAACATGATTCTTGTTGCAACAAAAAAAGAAAAAAGAAAGATGATGATGGTTAGTGCATAGTGAGTGCGTGGGCTGGTGGGGCAAACAATATTCATTTTCATTGAATGAAATAAAACTAACAAAATAAAATTGTTCATAATGATGATTTTTTTACAAAATTGAATTTTTTTTGAAAAATGAAAAAAAGCGGATACAATATAAGTTGATGATGATGATGATGAATAGAGAATCGATTATAGTTTTGCAACATCAAGAGTTTTTTCTTTCAATTTAAACGTCAAAAAATATTTTAATTAAAAAAACTGAATCAAATTTATTCACGAAATATTAAACGTTGAAATTCCAGTGAAAAGTGGGAAAAAATATTAAATTACCTGAATAGTTTAAATGATAATAAACATTTTGTGGTAGGCAAAAAGAACGTAATAAACACTGATTTAACACTAATTTTCATTGATGAAATTCAAATTAAACTGATGATGATGATATGGAATTTTCATTTTTCAAAAAATTCATCATTTCATCTCACCAACAACAATCTATCCATTCAATTAATCAATCAACATTCATTCACTGAAGATTTTGAAAAAGGATTTTTTCTTTTCGTCGTTGTTGGATCACTTCAAACAAGTAAAAAAATTTAACTTTTTTCGTAAAAAAATTTCGATTCACATATAATAAATAAATAAACCTTATTAAATAATGTAAAAAAATGTCTATTTTCTCTCTCTTTTTACAAACTTTGTTTGTCGATTTTTTTTAAGTTATTGTCTTTCCTCATCATCATGATCATTCACAACAAAAAAAATGTGCTTCCTATTCACATATTTCTTTTTTTTCTCATTTCGGGAAGGAAAAAAATATACATCATTTTCAAAACGAATGATGATGATTATTATGAATTTTCTTTTCTAATGTAAAAATCGATATTTTAACAAAAAACCAACGGAATGAATTGAAAAAACAACAAAAAATTTGTGGCTTTTTTCCAATTTTTGACTCAAAGATTATGATGATGATGATGGAACAGCAAACAAAAAACAAGCTTAAAACATTTTTGATGAGAAATTTGTGTGTGTGCTCGAATGTGGCAAGATAAGTTCATTTTCATTAAATCAATTTTTTCGTTTTCTTGCTGTTGTTAGAGATAGAATTATTTAAAAATTATTAATTCAATTTATGCTAAGAATTTTCTTGTTTTTCTGGAAAAGTGAAATTCCAGGAATGACAAAAAAACATTGAATAAATCAATATGATGTATAACAACAACATGAAGAAAGGAGAACGAATTGGTTCTTGGTTTTTGTTCATCCAGAAATGTCCAATGATCAAGAAAATGATAATTCACAAAATTGATAACAGAAAATATAATAAGTTTACAATGAGAAATACTTGATAATCATCATACAGAAAATAATCAAATGTTGATAATTTACTTACACACCTTTTTCATACTTTTCGATATAAGCATATAGGATGCATTAATGATAATAATATATGGTGACAACATTGATTTTTTACAAATGAAAAAAAACTTTCAAACAAACAAAGATAATAATGATCTTTGTAATGATCAATTTAAAATGAAATGGAAAAGAATAACTGAAATTATTATTGATCAAAATGATGATGGATATTATCATCATCATCAGGATCATCAATTGTGGATACAAACAATCAGATGATGACGATGATGATGGCCGCAAAAACTTAATTAAAATGTAATACAATAAGGCACTTTTTTTTATTTGGAAAAAAAATGAAATGAAATTGTCCGGATGAAAATGGGAAATGTTAAATTCAAAGTGAAAGTTGACCGCCATTATTCAACAATAACAAATGAAAAGGAAAGATCTATGATGATTCAATCATTTCAAGTTTTAATTCTCATAATGAATGAATGAATGGAAAAAAATTTGATCAATTTGAAATGTTTATCCAGATAGATAAATATTTTGATGAGAAAGTGGTGGTGAAAACATTTACTTTTTTTCAACAACAACAAAAAAAAATTTCAATAGTTTTTCTCAACCATCATCAACACACACAACTATGATCTATTGTTGAACAATGTCATTAGCCATAAGTTCATCATGAAAATGATAATAAAAAAATCAAATCAAATCCAATAGTGGTCAACAACAACGATATGGCCAATGACAGTCAGTCAGTTATTATTTAGATTTTAATGAATCAAGAAATGATTATTCGCAAAAAGAAAATCGAATAATTTTTTTTTGTCTTTTTTCTCAATTTTATTTATTTTTTTTGCCCCAATGCAGGAAAACACACAAAGTAATAATGAAATTTTTTCTATTTCAAAAAAAAATTCAATGTCTAGCTTTGGCCATCGACCATTTGGCCATCATCATCATCATCATCATCATCAAACAACATTGATCAAAATGCACATTATCATTATTATATAACCAGTTTTAATGATATAAACACTTGATGATGATGATGATCATTTTCAAGCTTCTAATCATCTAAAAGATTCATTTAAATATTAAGTATATTTCTCACACACAAACACACACACGAACAATACATTGTAACAAACCTGAAAATGAATTGTAAATGTTAAATAAAATGATCATTTTTTTCTCATTCTCTTTTAATGAAAACTAATATGATTCAATTGTTTTCTCAAATCGATTGCATTATATGATTTTTTCTCTTTAGTATATTTTTTAGTGAAAAAAATATTATGCAATATTCTTAGTCTATAATAGAAATAATGATGATCAGCAGCAGCAGCATCAGAGAATGAATCTCTTTCTATATCTCCGCTGATGGCGCATCTTGGCGCAATAATCGATTTATCATTAAGAATATATCGATCATAATCTAATCTATATATATTCATAATCAATTATTGAATTTCCAAAACAAAACTGAACAGAAAAAAATAAAGAGTTCGGATGCAGAGTTTGAAAAAAAAATTTTTTGAACAGATTGGATATGATTGTGAAAAGCACCATATGGTATATTATAATATGCTAAATTTATATTTATAATGATAACCTTAATTACATATTGAGAGTTTTCTGGAAAATTTCTTTTTTTTTCTTTCTCGAAAAAAACAGCTGTTTCTATTCACCTTCTATATAATGGAATTTCTATTTCCGTTTCTGTTCAATTCGAAAAATGTACAAGAGACAAAAAAATCGGAATATTTCCAAAGAAAAAAAAAACTCACCATTATTATTGTCGAAGATAATTTTATCACCAGGTCGTAATTCTTTAACAACAAACATTTCACGTATCTCTTCATCCGAATCTTTAATCAAACTAGACGATGTTGTGTTTGTAGAAGTAGCGGTAGTTGATTGTTGTTGTTTTAATTGGCGAAGATTTTCATTTCGCACATGTTTGAATGAATTTAGATGCTGTATTAGTTGAATTTTTGTTGCCGTTGCCGTTGAACATAATGTACAATAGAAATATTTATTTCCTGAGATATTAAACTCTGAGATTTGTAGATGATTAAATATACGGCTATAGACATCATGTCGTGGATTTGCACAATGTAATTGAAGTTTATGTATAGAATTCGTATAATAATTACAAACATTACAACGTAACACTTGTATTGGATTGGACATTTGTACAAGTTTGAGCTTTAAATGTTCACCAGTGCTAACACCTTCTTTGATGTGATTGACATGTTGTAATCGTTGTAAATGTTTATCAGTTTTACAATGTAATTGAAAATTGGCCTTCAAATTTGTTTTATATGAACAAAGTTTACAAATATAACTACCACCGATCGACATTAATACTTCATCTTCTCTGGTTCGTGTACGATCACATTGGATATGTTGATTTAATGCATCGATCGAATCGGAACTGAAATTACCACAAACACAACAATGATAAAGGTGACAATTTTCATCAAATGGTACAGAATTTGCTATGCTTGCTACATTGGGATCTGTATGTTCCATATCGAATGTAGCCTAATAAATAAAACAAACAAAATCAAATGGGAAATTTTATATATATAAAAACTACATAAACATTTTATAAGGAATCAATTCGTTTACCTGTAAACCATTTGGCATGATTGATTTCGATTCATTTGTTTGTTGTTGCTGCTGCTGTTGCAATTGTTGTTGTTGCATTAAAGCGGCCATTGTTCGTTGTTGTTGTTGGCTGGCCATCATTAATAATGCATGATTATAAGCCATATCAGCCAAAGCAACTTCCGGTTGCATTGAAGCATTATTATTATCATTCGTATTTGTTTCGGTATTATTGTTCATACCGGCAGCAGCGGCTGCAGCTGCTGCTGCTGCGGCAAAAAATCCCGGATTCAATTGCAATAATTCTGGACTTAATATGCCGGCCTGTTGAATGGCATTTAGTTGTTGCATTTGTGTAACATTCTGTTTGAGTACCATAATGTTATGCGTATGTTTTTCACTTGTCATATGAATACGAAGATTACGTGCAACATTCGTTTCATAATTACAAACATCACAACGCCATGTTGCTTTTTGTTTGCCAGAACTACCGATGTTGTTGTTGTTATTGCTGTTTTGAGTGGTGGGCGTTGTCGGTGGTGTTTGAGATGGTGGTGTATGAACACCAGTCGTATTATTAGCTGTTACCATTTTCACTTGAAGTTGTTGATTTTTGGCATCTTGTTGTTGTTGTTGTGCGGCTACAGCAACGGCCATAGCGGCAACTGATGTTGGTGTTGACACTGGTGAACTTGATAATGTTGTTGTCGTGGATGTTGTAGGCGTAATTGGTGATGTTGTATTGGCGGTGGCTGCATTTGCGGCAACAGCAGCCGCAGCTGATGCTTGTGCCACAACAGCCGCTAATGCTTGAGATTGTAATAAATGCTCAGTCGCTGTTGCTGGTATATTACCATTCTGTAATTCTTGAACATTATTAATATGTTTATCTGATTGCATATGGATGCTAAGATTTCCTTTCGTTGTCGTTGAATAATTACAAACATCGCAACGATATGGTTTATAACCGCACGTATAAGTTTCACCACGTGCTAATCGTGGATGTGGTTGATTCGTAAGACAATAGATACAATTCATTTCATTTTCCGGATGTTTCTCTTTCATATGTATCTCTAATGTTTCCTGATATTTATAATGCCAATTACATTTTGGACATTTCAATGTTTTACATGAATTACGTGAATGTTGCATCAATAATGGTGGATGATTGGATGTTGTTGATGATGATAATGTTGATCGTGTTACATGATTACTCACTACCGTTGCTAATAGATTTGAAGTATCACCATCAGATTGACTGTTGAATAATGATGATATGCTTTTACTATCAGCATTAGTAGTAAGTAATCCAAGATTATTAAATGATGATGTATTTGTAATTGGACTTGTATTGATTAATGATGTTTGATGCTGATTGCTAATACTACCGCTTTTCGGTGATGTAACACGTTTATTTGTTGTTGTTGTTGATGTCGTTGTCGACATTGAACCGGGTGAAGGTGTACGATTTTGACCGGAAACTTTATTATTATTGGAAGCGGCAACCGCAGCCATCACAGCAGCGATTGAATGAAGATCAATTTGTTGTTGTTGTTGAGCAGCAGCAGCGACAGCTGCAGCCTGAGCGAATTTTTCTAAATTAGCGAGATCAGCAAGTTCAGATGCAAATTGTGACGCAGCATCATTGGAATTATTGATATTTTTATTATTATTATCAAAATTGTCGATTGTTTTCAATTGGCTAGAATCTTTATCATTATCATCATTAATGGCGATATTTGTTTTTTGTTGTTGTTGTTGTTCATCATCATCATCGATTGACTGTGATGATTTTTGAACCGAATTGTTGTCATCAACATTCATATTATGATCTGATGATTGGTTAATTGGACTACTTGATGATGATGGGCTCACAATATCGGATATTGAAGAAGAATTTGTATTCGTATTCACTGTTGAAAAATTATTTGAGCGAGATAATGCTGATGCAACGGCTGCCATTTGCACGGCAAGTAATCGTTGAGCATCAACTTGTTGCTGTTGTTGCTGTGATTGATTCAAGGTCCTAAATGGTGTCGGTGAAGATGATTTTGGCTGTAAAAATGATAATAATGGTTCTTTCTCTTTTCCAACACCTTGTATTATTGCCGATATATTTCTGGAAGAAAGTAGTATCCGTTTTTCATCATCATTTAATGCCAGATGATGTTCGCCAATGGCATGTGCAACGAAAGACTTAGTATAACCGAATGATAATTTACAAATGAAACACATTAATATTGGTTTGACCGGGACTGAAGGACAATTATTATTACTATTGGCAGCATTTTGTTTCAATGAAACAGATTCTTCTTGTTCTTGTTCGAATTTTTCAATGAAATTATTATTATCATCATCATCATTATCAGTGTCATTGCTGCCATTCGTGTTATCGTCAGTATTTTGGGATTTTTTATTACGTAATGTGAATACCCGATAACTGTGCATAACTGGCACTTCGGTTGTTTTCGTTTCATTTGCGATTATATTCGCTGCTGCTGTTGATGACGAGGATGATAATGATGATAAATTTGCTGCGCCACATAATGATGAATATAATTCGGCTGCTGCTGCTGAGCTACGTGATATATGAAATGCGGATACAATTTGTGGAAATGAAATCGAACCATAATTTGGACTTTGTCCACGAGCATCAATAATACTGCCTTCTTGGCTTATTTCCGCTTCAACTTCACTACCATCCGAATCGGGACCTTCAATAATGTATGCAGAACCATCCGGATTATATACTATTTTACCATTGAATGTTTCAACATCACTTAATGAACTGGTTACACTTTCATTACCATCATTATTCAATGAAGCGGATAATGTTTGTTGATCATCAATCGTTAATGATGATTCTTTATCTGGTGATAGTCTTGTATCATTCAATAATGACGGTGATATAGCAGTCGCTGCTGCTGGTGGAGAAGATGAAGAAGACATCAATGATGATGATGAATTCTTATGTAATGGAAAAGAATTTGGTGTGAATGGTGATGTTGTTGTTGATGATGATGATGAACGCATTTGACCGGTATCCAACGAATTATTTAATGGTGATTTATTATTGTTGACCGTTGTTGTTGCATCGACAGTTGTTGTCGAAATCATCAGAGCAGGATTGCCACTTGAAACCGTACTGGTCTCCATAGGAACGTTAAAAACAAAATATTAATAATAGTGATGATGATGGTAAGGTGATATTTAATAAATTTGAAAAATTGACCGATCATCAAACATATGCACAAACAACACAGAAGAATGAATTTTTTTTCTTTACTTGATAATAATCGATAGCCGGAATGAAGGGTAAGAAGAAAATCAATGATTACATTTCATTTGAAAAAGATTTTTGTTTGCGAAAATCATTTCAACAATAACAAATGATGCGGCCGTTATCAAAGTTCAAGAAAAAAAGGATGAGATTTGAGATGAGATAAATTTTTACGTTCCGGAATGATGATGAGATCTGTGATTTGGTGTTCGTATAGAAAAAAGAAAAAAAGAAAGAAGAAATAAAGAATGAGAACAAACGAACAAAAAAAAATTGAAAATTTTTTCAACAATTGATTGTTGATAATCGATAATCGATAAGAATGGTAATGAATAAAACTAAATTCACATCATGAAACAAATAAAGAGAAAAACAACTAAACATACACGTGTAATTCAAGCAAGAGATGATGACGAAACAAAAAATCAAATAAAATTGATATCAATCAGAAAATGCAGAAAGATAATGAAATTGATTTATAAATAAATGATAAGAATCGATTCAAATATCAAACAACAACGACGACAATGACGAAAGCAGCAACAGAAAGAAATTATCAATATATTTATCACAGGCAAAAATTTTTTTGTTGTTAAACAAATTAAGCGGAAGTTGTTGTTGAATTTCATTTAAATATTTTCAACACAGAACAAACGATAAAAAAAAGAAAGAAAAATGGAACACGATAATGGCTCCTAAATGGCAACCTTTCACAATTTTGTTTGTTTGAAACAAATACCCGATGATGCAACACAATGATGGATAATGATGATGACAATAACAACTGATGAATTGATGCGCTAACTGAACATACACACACACACACGAACACAAAAACAACATACAATCCGGGTATTGATAAGCCAAACCTTATGAAATAAAGAAATGTATGTTGTTATTACCATACAGGCCTATGGCTAATCTTGAAATGAGAATGGGAATGGCTTCTCACACAAACAAACAAACAATCGATCAATTCGCCAAATGATCTTTCCATCATTCATTCATTATCCAATGTCTTTCTTTCTCTCACTATCTTTATTTTTTTTTTGTTATTTTCTCTTCAGTCTATGTGTTGTAATTATTTTGTACAAATGAAAAGGCGGCGGTGGTGGTGGTGGTAGTTGTAATGATAGTGGTCTTTTTATTCAAAGTTTTTATTCGTAATTTTTTTCAAAAGCGAAGGCGTCAACAATTTGAAATCCTCATCATCATCATACAAAGGCAGCAACAAGAGTTGTGTGTAAAGCAAAGTAAGCAACATGTGTTAAACAACAATCATTTTCAATTCAATTTGAATTTAAATTACAAAAAATAATTCATATAACCAATTTTCTGCAACACAGCTTCAGCTACCTTTATCAAACCACTACAACCAACCAAAATATTTAATTTATTTTAAATAATAACGAAATTAATAAGGATTGATTTTTTCCGACAGGTATTTTCATCGATTGTTATTTGGGAAATGAGTAAAAAAGAGAAAAATTTCTGATCTTTCGTTGTAGCTATTGATCAAGAAGAAAACATCATCGATATTTTTACATCATTCAGTAATCAAAGGGACGAAGAAACAAAAAAACTACTTCTAGATTGATTTCAAAGATTTGTAATCAAAATAATCAGAATCAGTGTTGGTTTTGTTGATCGATATCCAAGTGTGATTTGTATCATAAAAAAATTAAACAGAAAAAAATAAATAAAATTTTGAACAAAAAAAATCGGTGTCAATGTGAATTGTGAAAAGCCTGAAAGCTAAAATTCCAACGAAAGCGATCGATCGATGAAACACCACCGTTAGTTAGTTAGCTAAGTTAGATACATGGTTTCATATGCTAAGCAAAAAAAAAATGTCATAAAATCACACCAGGTATTCGAACGAAAAAAGAAACTTAACAAATTTTTTTCCTTACACCTTTTTTATTTTGCACAAAACACAACAACATTCATTCATTTGATCGGTAATAATTTGTGCGGTTGACTGCCATTAAATTAATTATATAATTTTTTTTTCTTTCTCTTTTCACTTGCAACATTTTCAACTGGTGAATGAAATCTATCAAACTCGGGAAAAAATGGTGATTTTATTTGTAAATCGTAAAACAAGAAAAGAATGAACAACAACAACAACAACAAGGTTAGCAACCTAGAACCGAACTCCGGGATTGTTTTTTTTTCACTAAAAATTTCATTCGATTTATTATCATCAGCAATGATCAATATGATGATTATGATTGGATATCAAGGTTAAACCATTTTCTTTTCCCCTATTATATGCTTAAAAGATTAAGTTTTTTGTTTTTTGTTTCCCGACTATTTTGGAACTTTGAAGGTTAATATCGTCGACGGTCAAGAAGATGGGTAGCCGATTAAAAATTTACGAAACATAAAAGGAAAAAAACTGATTTCTGAAATGCTGAAACAAATTTGAAAATAGAATTCAGATTGAAAATCCAGAAAAAAAGACAAAACAACGGTAAAAGAAACAGGAAAAAATGGACATTTTTTTCAGTTTTGTTTTGTTTTGTTTCGTTCCAGAAAAAAAATTGATCACTCAGTGGTGGTACTCAGTACATACCCGAAATTGGGTAGGGAAATTGAGTGGTGGTAAGGGGAAAAAACGATAATAACATTTCCATCATCATCATCAATGAAGATTTTCCATTTTATGTTGGACATTATTTTAGAAATGAACAAACAAAAACATAACACACACACACACACCTGGACCACTTATTAATACCAGAAAAAAATTGGTAAAAGAAAAGAAAAAATCTTAACGAAAATGACAATATGACCTATCGCGTATCGTATGGGTCTTCGTCATCATCATCATCATCATCATCGCTACATTTGACAAATATCGTTCGAAACCAAGTCGAACTAAAGTAAAAAATGTGTTAAAAACTTGAAGCAAAATATATGAACAGTGATTGTAATTATAATAAGCCATTTTTTTGGGAAGGAAAAATATTTTCCCCTTTGTATAAACGAAGATCATTGTACCGTATTGGCAAGAAGAGGAAAAGAAAATTGTAAAGGAAGAAAGAGAAAAAATTCAAATGAGAAAAAAATGTTGATTAGATCAATATGATCATTGATCATTGTGTTATTTAGTGGTGGTGGTGGTGGCGGCTACTGTTATTTTCAAATTTTTTTGGTCAAATAATCTATGTTTCACGGTGATCAACAAACGCAAAAAATAAAGAAAAAGAAAAAACGGTAACTTGTCATTGATGAAAAGATTCATTTGGAGCAGAACATAAACCAAAAAAAATGAAACCAAATTATTAATAAAGAAGAAAAAAGATAGTCTTTTGTCTGCTCAAAAATGAAAGAAAAGGAAATGAAAAAATTGGAATGGAATGAATAAATGTCATTTTCCATAATTTTTTGTTATCTGATTTTTATTCGATAAAAAAAATCTTGTCACTTTATGATCATCATCATTGAAATATGATGATAATGTTTTTCATTTAAAGGAAAGATTCGATTGAATTCGAATCAATCAATGATATATATAGAGGTGTGTGTGATGCCATAAATAATCGATTTTTATCAACAACAACAAAAAAAATCATCGATATATGACATATGTGTACAATCCATAATCTTTTGATGATAAAAACAAAACAACAATAACAGAATTTATAGATTCTAATTTCAATGAATTGCGAAAAATTTTGACATTGTAATTGACATTTGAATTTGATGTGAAAATTGATAGGAAAGAAATTCTTAAAAAAAGGTCATGATTACCCACAGAGAAAAATCAAATCTCAGGTTTTAAGCATCGTCAAGTGACTAAACAAATCACGAATGATATTTTTGTGTTATGATTACAGAAGAAAAAAAACCGAAGATTACCTATGTGATCAAATGAAAATCCTTGTAGTTAATTATTAGAAAAGTTATTCTTAATTACTAAGGATATCTTCTTTTTGGTCTTCAAGTCAGTCGCGTCAAATAATTACAGTTGATGGTTACCTCAAACAGAAAAAAAAGCAAAAGTTATCTCAAATTTCAACACGAATTAACTACGAAAAGAAAAACGTTTATTGGTATGGTTCAATGCATGGCAATGGCAATGGAATGGATGGACCTAGAAGCAAATAAACATATCGTGTGTTTGTTCATTCATCGTTCGATCAAAACTTTGGATGGTAAGAAAAAAGATGATGATGATTAGAGAGAAGATGAAAGGTGATTATGACAACAACTTTTCCAAAATCATGACATACTCAGCATAGACATACACGGTATATTTATTAGAATCTGGCGCCTCACTTAATGATAATAATTACAAATGTAAGCACCTAATTATTTCGTAGGAAAATAAACTTGGCCCACACATCATTCAAATGAAATCTACGGCCCTTATTTTTTTCTTACCAAAATAACAACACAAGAAATTATTATTTATTTTAAGACAAAAAAAAATTTTTTTGCTGTAAAGACGAAAAAGAACCACAAATGAGTGTATTTGGGGCAAATCAAAATGGAAATGTACAAAAGAAGAAAAGAAAAAATCATAATTATTGTTCAATAAATAATTACAATAATTACTAATGTTTTTCTTTCTTTTCTTATTTTTTGCTTTACTTAGGTCGATCAAACCGACGACGATGATGATGATGACGACGACGACCGAAAACTTATTACCGGGTTTTAGAATAAGAACCATGACCATTGGCTAAGTACTATGCTCTACCCCTCTTAATAACTTTACTTGTTGTTGTTGTTGTTAATGTTTCAGTGTGGAACAATCAAGCCGCAATCTAAATAAAGAAAATCAATAAACAGATACAAACAAGCATTGGAAAAAAATCAAATTTCTAATGAGATAAGATGACACATCTTTGAAAAAAATATATTTCCAGTTGAATTTGTTTAGTGTTGAAAGAGAAACATAACATAATATTGCTATGACATGACAACAACAACAACAAAGAATGCCGACTTCATTTGTTCATTCATTCA